AACAGCATAGTGCCATCTCTTAAGATGGATGTTTCATTTCCAGTACTTCCCACCATGTTTCTCTTATAACATGTATAATATGTGTGTGTTCATTCCCTTTTTATAGCTCATAGCTCTGCGCTCTCCACTTTCTCTTCCAGTGCTTTGTAATGTAATGTATTGACCAGAACAAGCTGCAGTTAGAACTGACTGTTCTAACAAGAAATCTTCGTATTCTTGTTGCTCTCTTTGCTTCTCCATATTCTCTAGACAGGTTAAGAATGTGCATGGTTTCTTGGTATGTAGGTAATTCAAGAACTCCTTCTCTTCATGTCCTTTGGTTCCTTGATTAATATTGTTCTCAACATCTCAATTTTGTGCCATCTGAGTGCTCAAATTTCTGTCTACACCACACTTCCGTCGTTCACCAAACGAGACAAGTTTTACTGACGAAAAGCGCTGGTGCAAACAGCGCTGTGTCAGCGGGAGAGCTCTCCCAATGACAAAGCTACCGCTTCTCGTTGGGGGTGGATTTATTTTGTCAGCAGCTGACACAGAGTGGCTACGCTGCGCACCTTTTAGTGGCATGGCTGTAACAGCCCAGCTGTGTCGCTAAAAGGTGCATAGTGTAGATACCTTAAAAAAAAAAAATCAGACAAATTACAACTGTGGCTGAGATTTCCAAAAGAACGTAAGGGAGTGAGGCACCCCAATATAGGCAGCTTTTGAAAAGGCAGCCTGTATCCTGGTGTTTTGTGGGCCACTTATTGGTAGTTTGTTAGTGTTGTAGGTAGCTACAGATCGATCTGCATGTTGCTCGACTGCAAGGAGGATGCGTCCTTTGGGACTTGCCTTGATGTTGGTGAAGTCGGATGCAAATAATAAATGGGATTGTTTTAACTTGTGCTTGATTGTTAATGAAACAACTAATTTCTCTTCCAGTGTGCCTAGTCTCAGTTTAAATACACATGATTTTTCAAGGATGTTACAGCATAAATGAATGCTAAAAGTGGAAGCCAGCCCCCAGAATCTCTCTGTATAGCTCTGTAAATATGCATGATGCTTTCAGAAATAAATCCAGCCCTTGCCCCAAGGAGTGCTTATATTGGAAAAAACAAAGTGAGACAGCAGCCAGAGGAAGGGGAAGGGAAGGGTTAAGGGTTAAATCGAACAGAAAGTGAGACAGCAGCAAAGGAAGAGCCAGGGAAGGGAAGGGTTAAATCGAACAGAAAGTGAGACAGCAGCCAGAGGAAGGGGAAGGGAAGGGTTAAGGGTTAAATCGAACAGAAAGGGGTATTGCATTGTGCTGCAATCAGAATTCTCAGCTCTGAATGTTGTAAAAAAGTCAGTCAAATGTACAGAACGTCCATGGCAAAAAACGAGGGCTGAGATGGAGACGGGCAGAGAGTTGGGGTTACAGTAGAGTAGCCTTTGTATGAAGTGACTGCCTTGAAAATTCTCCCGTGTGACTATGGACTTCTCGAGTTACATTAGCTTGTTCAGTGTGGAAACTTCCTAAAGGAGAGCTCCAACTCATCCATAAACCCAAGTGCTGTGTTTCGGGGCTGTATTACCCCTGGAGCCAAAGTTGTCAGGTTTTTTTTCACCAGGCCATCTGTCAGCTTACTTAAGAGATAAGCACAGCCTAATGCAGCACACTGAGTAGCCAATGGAATACTTTCAGTTTCTGCCCAGACTAGTTTGTTTATTTTGAAAGCTGATTTTTTGCTGTCAACGCTGTTGTCCCCCGAAACAAAATTTGTTCCAAAGAGCCGTGATCCCTTGCCCCAGGTGGTTGGTTTGATCACCCCTATTCCAGACAATCAGTGTGGACTCTGCACTTGGAACACAGACAACATTAGACACTCCACATGCTGGGCACTAAAGCAGCTTGTGGTAATTATCACAAAATTAAAGATAATCTCTTGCTCTGGAATTCGGACAATGTGCAGAAAGATTAACTCCCGTGGAATACAAAGCTGTAGCAAAAGGGGCCTTAGCCTCTATCTTCCTACAGTCAGCACAGAAAATGTAGCCCCTCTGGCTCAAATTCTGCTCTGTTACACTGTTCACCTCCATTGACTTCAACAAGGCTACGCTGGTGTAACTGGGAGCAGAATCTGGCCCTTTGAATCATGCCTTCAATTAGGTGGCGTGTGTGTTGGCATTGAGAAGAGGGGCCTTGTCCTGAGGAACTTACAATCTGGATAAGCAGCACAGGCACACAGGAGACCATGTGACCTAGAAAGGTTGTGAAATGATTTTCTGACTGCTCATCATCCTAGCAGAAGTTAGTCCTATGAGCTCTGAAGTGGGAGTGAGCGATACGATTTATGCAAAGAACAGTATCGGTTGCTGAAGATAGGCCCTGGATTCCATTCCACTGTACTTTCTGCTCATCCTTCCTACTGGTCATTTACCTGTTGCACTTGAATAAGATATAAGCCACGGGTCAGCAACCTATGACACGTGTGCCAAAGGCGGCACGCGACCTGATTTTCAGTGGCACTCTGCTGCTGGCCTGGGGTTCCGTCCGCTGGCCCCCTGCCAGCCAGGGTCCCAGCCATCAGTCCCAGGGGCTCCGCTGCCAGCCTGGGGTCCCAGCTGCTGGCCTGGATGGACGGAACCCTGGGCTGGCAGCGAGCTCAACCCACTGCTGGTCTAGGGTTCTGTCCACCGGCCCCCACTGTGGGTCTGGGGTTCCATCCGCCAGCCCCTGTAAATGTAAACTGTATGACTGGCATGGAAAACCTTAAATTAAAGTGAATAAATGAAAACTTGACACCACTTCTGAAAGGTTGACGACCCCTGATATAAGCGGTTCTGTTTGCCTAGGGCAATCTACCTACGGCCGGTTCAGCTCCAGCTGTGCTAGCAACATCGAGGGTGGTCAGCCTGCCATCACCATTCAAAGCACCAGGTTGCCTAGACCTGTTCCATGGAAGCCACTATTGGCCTGTTGATGCTAGGTCTCCTCATATTGCTAACACGTGGATCTTGGGCCGTGGATGCAGTGGTAAAAATTTGGCTTGGTCTTCACTAGGAATATTTATAAACAAATGAGATCCTCTTCTAGCACAAAAGTGGGAAAACTACGGCGGGCGGTCAGGGGACAAGTAGTGGGGGGGTTAGATGGGGGGGAGTTCTGAGGGGGCCAGGCTGTTTGGGGAGGCACAGCCTTCCCAACCCGGCCCTCCATACAGTTTCGGAACCCCCATGTGGGCCTCAGGCCAGAAAGTTGGCCCACCCCTGTTCTAGCATCTGTTCAGAAAGGGCCCAACCCCTGGCGACCAGCAGGAAGCACTTTTCTTTCTGTTGTGAGATCTGTTTCCTGAAATATAACGGAAGGAATGGTGCCCTTGTCATAGGACCCTGTAGATGCATTGTTGTGGCATCAACATGGTATTAGGATGTTCCTGCTAATCTCAGTTCTTGTTGATACTAATTTTGAACCAGATCTTGTAGTGCTGCCACTTGGCTGAATCTCTCTCAGCTCTTCAAGAAGGGTGGGCATGACACATCCCAACTTACTGCGAGCATCCCCTCTTTGTCCGAAGAGCTTTTGGGTCAAGCTGTGATAGTTCCATAATGTCTGACCGAATGGGAAAGTGTGATCAGCAGCGCTGGCTCCCTTGGCCTGCACTGCTCTTGGACAGAAACATCCTCTTGCTCCTCCTGCCTTGCTGAAACAGCTACTCCTTAGACTGTAGGAAATCTGCATTTAGGCCATAAGCAGGAGCTGCATCAGTTACATGTCTGCCTGGTAGTTCAAGGGCAGGTTAAGTGGGGAGGCTGTGTGCATGAAGCCTTTGTTCTGTGCAGAGTGAATTTCAGTGTTCTGCTTTGCAACATGAAATCCTTCATTTAGAAGGATTAAGGATTGTTCAATAGTCTGCTGATCCTATCGTTCCTGTCAGCCTGGAAGCGTGTACAAGGCCCGTGTGTAACTGGAAGCAGGTAACGCTAGTTAGGCAGCCTCACAGTGAAATCCATTATTTCTTCTTTCTAAAAAGGGCTTTTCCCTCCCATTTAGCACATTGGCTCTTCCAGCAAAACTCTCCATGTAAGGAGAGGCTTACTTGCTTAACTTGCAAGCCCTTAGGGCAGCTCTGCGGGGGTGTGGTGTATTGCTGAAAGGGCTCCTTTTTGAGCAGCTCCTGATGCTTGAAGTCATCCAGGGTCAGCTTCATGAAAGCCATAACTCTCCAGAATTAGGGCCGGTTGAGTTGTTGATACCGTGCACATAACTGCTTGGGTTTGGTGTTCGTTCGTTCTTTCTTTTTGGTTTGAATGAAAATTCAGTAGTGCTGCATTCGCCCATTCTAACGGCCCCTTGTTCTGTTAGTGTGCTCTGGTTCAGACAGCAAAGAGGGCTGTTCTCATTTAGAAACGTGCATGGCTCAGTCTGCAAAGTTTGACTACAGCTAAGGTGGGAAAAGGACGGGCTTGTGTTAAGGTGCTAGTGGGACATGCTCAGACTTTGCCTTCCTGTGTGACCTTAGGCAAGTCATTTAATCTGTGCCTCAGCTCCTTGTCTGTAAAATGGGAATAATACTTTCTCCCTCCCCCCCAGGGTGCTATGAAGGCAAATGCATTAGTGGGTGTGGGGCTCCATTCAGACCAGTCTTTCCTCTTGTTGAGTGGCTAGAAGAGAGCATCATAAAAGCCTCTTTGGGGTCCTCTTTGGGCTTTAATTAAATAATTCTTCAGGATAGCCCAGTCCCATTACTGGAGGAGCAGCAAAAATAGGGGAAAGTTACATAGTTGACATAACATTTTTAGAGTAAAAACACCACCGAGAGCTAGAAAAGAAGACATAGGCACCCTATGAGCGTCTAAAAGCCAAGTCCAGGATTGTTCTTTAACTTGGGACCCCTGCGCTTGCAGAAATGAAAGTTGGGCAAAAAATTACTGCCTTGTTTTTTCTGGCAATTTGCTTGACTGATCAGCTGTTGGGATAAATGCACCTGCAAAGAGCCTGTGACCATCCTCCTACTGACCTACTGTTCTTCTCTCCTCAGGTCTGGCACTGAAGAAGACGGCCCTCACTGAGGTGAGTTGCATACTGCTGTTTAAAACCTTCTGCAGAGGGGGGGAGAGAACACAAATAGAGCTTTTATGGTGCACAGTTGAAATGGAGGAATGTGCAAGGTGGAAGAGTCATGGTTTTTTAAGTAAATCTTGGTGTTGATGAAGGTGCCAGGTTGGCAGCCTAGGAGAATGAGGTCCTCTATCTTCCTACAGCATGGTTGGCAGCAGGGCAAGGCATTGAGGGGTGGGGTGTGTTTGACCTGTAGTGATCACATCTGGGGGAGGGTATTTTTCATGATCCATTCAGCCTTTCTGTCTGCTGACTGGCAGTGATAGGGCGAATTATGGTGATGGATTTTGTGATGTTGATATGACCATTTGGAACTGGACTGAGACCCACCAATTAATCTATGTAATATTCAGGGATTCTCACTCTGAAGGCTAGAATGTCCTTTTATGTATTTATACCTGCTCCTGTATTTTTCACTTCATACATCTGATGAAGTGGGTTCTAGCCCACGAAAGCTTATGCCCAAATAAATTTGTTAGTCTTTAAGGTGCCACAAGGACTCCTCGTTGTTTTTGAGTCCGTGTGGAGCACTGGAAATTGCTACAAGCATGGCTGAGAATTCTTTTTATTTAGAGTATCAGCAGATTGACTCATCACTGGGATTTGTTGCTGATCAGTTCAAGTTCTCAGCTATTTTGACTCTACAAATTACACCTGTGTGAGAGCATGGGCTTTTAGCTACAGTAAGCCACTTTTAGTCACATGTATTTGTGCCAAGTCAAGGATCCTAGACCATTGTAATAACAGCAGAATCTCACCCCATCACCACCCTTACTCTACAGATAATTTTCATGCAACAGTTTCATTGGTTGTATGTGGGGAAAGTGCACAGATGGATTTCTGGGCCCAACTGCCACAGTTCAGCAGGTTCAATCACTGGGATTCACAGTTTGTTAGTGTCCAATTTTTAACTTCTTGGACATTTTTGGCTTTTTTTACAATATGACTTCGATAGCACGGGTTTTCAGCCGGTGTGTGTGTGTGTGAGAGAGAGATCTGAGGTGGGCCATCTCACCAGTACTCCATTGCTCTCCACTGGGCTCTGAGTTGGGACTCAAGAGATCAAATTCCATTCCTGCCTCAACCTTTCTGTATGCCCTTGGACAAGTCACTTAATCTATTTCATAGAATATCAGGGTTGGAAGGGACCTCAGGAGGTCATCTAGTCCAACCCTCTGCTCAAAGCAGAACCACTCCCCAGACAGATCTTTACCCCAGTTCCCTAAATGGCCCCCACAAAGATTGGACTCATAACCCTGGGGTTTAGCAGGCCAATGCTCAAACCACTGAGCTATCCCTCCTAACTGTCCAGTGGGGATGAAATGTCCCTACCTCTCAGGGGTTTTGAGAAGATAGTCTTAAGGATTTTATTACTACAGTGATGAAAGCCATGTAAGCACTTTGTTACCAATAAAAACAACAAGGAGTCTGGTGGCACCTTAAAGACTAACAGATTTATTTGGGCATAAGCTTTCGTGAGTAAAAACCTCACTTCTTCGGATGCATAGAGTGAAAGTTACAGATGCAGAGGCCCTATACTGACACATGGAGAGCAGGGAGTTACTTCAACAGTGCCAATTCAATCAGGGTGGATGTAGTCC